ATACTTAAGGGGGGGAAGGTTTGGCGAATGTCTACGGACCATAAATTTTTAAAAAAATGTATGGACGCTTGTCTACGTGGGAAAGGAGAAGGGTCAAAATCCTCTATAAACTTTATACGTAGTTCATGAACACTCCCTTTTTAATTTTTAATTCGGTGACAACTCTGTAATTTATCAACACTACGTCTTTAAGCGAAAAATACAAGCGTTGCTGCTTTAGGATCAGTTTAATAAATTTTCTACTTTTAAGGTTAATCTAGATCTTCTGAAGCACCATTTCGTGACCCTCAGGATCTATTACAATAATACAATCCCAATTTCACTCTTATACTAAAAACAGTACTCGAAAAAAGTTAGTTTGTACCTTTTTAGCATGTAGGTAAAAGTTGATGGAATTTTGACAGACACCAGCTAAGAGCCCTAGTAACAATTTAGGTTTCATGAAGGTTCTGTAGACCACAATTTAGACTTGTAGCTTGCTATAAAACCTCTATAAAACTTGCAATGTTACTTGGGAGTATAATGTGTACGCTGGCAGACTTTCATCATTATATGTCAAGTGGTTATCGAGATGGCATCGGAGCAAGAGTAGATCCGCCAAAAGAGCTTGTGCCCCGCCGTGGAAAATCCGACTGCGTCCCACAGATCAATCGGGAAACACCTGAGAATCCATCATTCAACAATTTCCCTGACAATGTTGCAGAAAATCAAAGACAGCTGACCCGGTGAAGGTCAGAAAGGTGTTGGTTGAGTCTGTTCAAGCGTCGGTCGAATCTTTCGATCCACGATGCGGCGAAGAAGGCGGATGTTTCTATCTGGTTTGTAAAAAAAAAAAACGATGATACGTGCCGGCATCCACGTCTACAAGGTCCGGAAGGCACCGAACCGGAACAACAAACAAAACACGATGGCCAAAACCTGCGCCAGTAAGCTGTACCGGAAGTGGCTGACGAAACCGCCCAAGTAGCATTACAAGTTTTATTAAGGTTTTAAAGCACTCTAAAGTCTAAATAATGATCTACAGAACCCTCATAAAACCCAAATTTTTACTAGGGTGAGGTGCGTTGTGATGGACGACGAGACTTACATCAAGGCGGACACTAAGTAGTTACAGGAGTAGGAGTTTTACGTTGCCATATCACGGTTGGCCGTTCCTGAGGAGGTGGACAAATTCGCCAAAAAAATCTTGGTTTGGCAGGTCATCTATGGGTGCGGAAAGATGAGCCGTACATCACGACGGGTACTATCAATGGGCAAATCTACCGGGATGAGTGCCTCCAGAAGCGTCTCCTACACTTCCTGCGGTCTCACGGAGGCGAGACGCTGTTTTGGCCGGATTTGTCCGATGTTAGACTGGTATAGAGACAACAATGTTGTTTTTGTACCAAAAGACATAAACCCAGCGAACTTGCCGGAACTTCACCCGATTGAGAAGTTTTGGGCCATCATGAAGGCCAGACATCGAAAAACACCTAAGGTGTTGGAAAACGAGCTGGCTTTGAAGAAACAGTGGGTAAAAGTATCAAAAGGAGTCGGCCCCACCATTGCCCAAAACCTTATGAGTGGTGTCGAGTAGAAACCTAACCTAACCTAACATTAGTTGTAGCACTCTAGAAAACATCAGTAATTCTGAGAACTGAAAAGAATAGCGGTACACTGGATTGTTAGGAAATTCCGTAGCATCTTAACTTCAAATTTTCAAGAAACTGTAGAATCTACTGATTTTAAGGGGACTCCAGTATTTCAGGGTACTATTAGCACCGACAAACCGACATAAATGACCATATCAAAAACAATTTTTTGTTACCAAAGCACACTACTGACATCTGGCTCCGTGTTCGCGGGAAATATTTAGCTAAGCCATGATCCGCATGCAAAATTTATGAATTTGATCGTGTCTGATCTATTTTGGACACATTATTTTTATCTAAATAAACAATTCCTATGGTTTTGACAGTTCGGACCACTGCACATTTAAATCAGCCGTTTAAGATTTTCGGGCATAAGTCAGAATTAAGTGTCATGTCAGTTTGTCGGTGCTATTAGCTCAAAATCTCTGATATGATGTTTCAAATGATTAAAATTTGTTTAGTCCCTTCAATTTCAGAAGATTTGAGAGTTAAAGAAAGATACAAGCATCCTGGGGGCAAGACAGCTGTACTCAGAGTAAATATATTTGCAGCGAGTAAATTTGAGTTACTCATATTTACTCAAAAATGATCAAAGTAGTCTCAATTTTCTGATCAAAGAAAATATCGTCTGGCAGCATATTTCGTATGAAGCATCTGTTCGCCCATTTAACAGATCGAATCGCTCGTTTAACAAATCGAATTGTGGACAATCGAAATGCTCCAATGGTATTTTGACTGCACGACGGTTTTGGGTGCCTTCCAGTGAAGTTTGACTCATAAACATGGATGAGTGGATGTATTTAATGGTGAATAAGTATCGAAGGAGATCCTGGAAGTTAAAAAATATAAATGTGAACAATATTGCTCTAAAAATTTAATTTATTGAATTAATTTAGCCTAATCCGAACCTATCGAACCACCTCAAAGTCCCTACACATAAATTCCAAGAAAGCACGTCAACTAACTTTGCTTGACAGCATCGGTTGCAACGATATTTTCAATATAACAATCAGGTTACTATGTGTATATAAGATATTGAGCAACGTGAGTTACTCAGAGTTACTCAAAATTAACTCCGGTTTTACTCATGATCGAAAGCTGTCTTACCCCCAGCAAGAATCCTATAAATTTTGCACACTTTAAATATGTATACGAAGTTCCATGAGCTGTCATGTTTTTGATGAGTAACGAAGGGTAAGTAATGTAACTTGAAGATTTTCGTCAATCATCGCTTGCAGTACTCTTCTTGAACTATCTCTTTCGTAATTCTGTGAAATTTGTACCAAACTATTCCTTAGATCAGTTGGTAAAGGAGCAGCTATAGATCGACAGTAGGCTGGGTTCAATTCGCAGTCCGGTCGACGAATTTTTCAGTTTGGAAATTTTTTCCCAACTTCCTTGGGCATAGATTAACATTGTGCTTGAATCACAATAAACCTAATGCAAAAATTGGCTCTGAAAGATATATATAGATATATATTGTCTAGATCAAAAACACGAAATTAATGCCCGATCTTCGATTGGGAAAATTTGCGGGTTAATGAGACCATGCTCGTAGCTTGTACGATAAAGAGATCAACCGAGCATAAAAAACCATTCCATTTAAATATGTTAATCCTTTCAAGTTCTTCTATGGAAACTTACATGTTAGAATGGAACGTTCCTTCTTCTTAGCTATTTTGATCCCAATCCACGACTATCGTTTTGTTCTGGATTGAATTCCACGTTTGCTCGCTCCCACTTGAAATAATATCGGATTCCGTCGAAAATATCCAGGAAACAAAAACCTATCTAGCACACACCTGATCTGATCCGGTTAGGCCGGTACGTACGTCAACAAGCGATCCATAAATAGCTATCAAGTCTTTGCTTTCAACAAATCCAGTACGTACGTAGACGAGATATGGTGCGTTTTGATAGGGAAGTATTTAATTATGGTTCAAGCATAACGACAGGTTTCAGAATGGGACTGCGTTGAAACCCCAAAATCCGATCTTGAATAAAAATCAGTTTTCAGTAGGCTCGATTTTAATCCAACAAAGTGATGAAATTGGCGCTTAAGTTTCGCTTTCAACAGTGACACAATAACCCGAAAAAATTCTCAAAAAAGGTCTCATTATCATAAACTCAATCCTCATTAGCATATGGTCGTTAATAAACTCCAATCCTAGCATGATGGTCTCAGAGCTATGAGGTAACCGCGAATTCGCACAAGATGAAAAGAAAAGGAAGACTAGAAGAAAGGTTGGACTTGGGCTGAATCCGCCATGGTAACCACAAAGCGAGACTTTTTCGTAGCCAGTTATTAATTTATTGCGGTGGCGCGACAGCCGGTTCTCCACTTTTACTGAAACCAGTAGTCATCCAGCTGTTGACCTTGAAACCGAAAAAATGCTACTTATTTTTTTTCGTGTGTTTCACTTTTCCTAAATTGATGTCAGGTTTAGATGGAGTGGAGATGTGAAAGTGGGCCAATGTAGGAAATATGCTGCAGGTATCCCAATGCAATAGCTGACCAGGTGATTAAAGTTTGGTTACGGTTAAAATTAGTACTGAGTACTGATTACTGCCAGTGTAGCCGAACAGGTTCGTTGGTACAAGTCGTAGAAGGATTGCATAAGTAGCAACTCGCTGACTCTCCGAGCATTGCTAGATATCAGCATTGTAACCAGACGAACGTACGCCTTGATACAATCTGTTTTGTATTAGCTAAAAATGAAGCCAAAACCTCGGAACTTTCCATTAAGTTAAGAAGATGGAAATCTCCATAACCTGGCAACATTGCCCATGGTAGCGAAATTTTCAGAAATCCATCGTAGCAACATCATAACCTACAAACCTGCATACATTCTTCTGCGCTGGAGAGGCAGCCTACTAGACAAGTTACTGTGCTAGAAGCTCCGATAGAGGAGGCTGGCGCGGTGCAGAGCGAGGTAAAAAAACAAGTCTTGGTCTCCCAAGCTCAGGTTATCTGAACAAGATTATAACACCACCGCTAGCTGTCTGAATGACTGGCTGCGAAATTTCGCTTTCGTTTGAACAAATATTTGCCTAGTCGCACGTGCGTATCTACCAACAGCTCGCTCACCGGCTGCTGCTGCCACCACTGGTGTGTTGTGTTGAGCTATAATTTGCGCTTAGGAGCAAAACCTGAATCTCTACAGTGCAGCTGCCGCCGTCCGAGTGACACGCTAGTCAACTGACCTATAACTATCTAGCGGCTCGACGAGACCATGTGGTCAGTGTGCCACGCAAAGCAGCATTTATGGAGGCAAGCTGTTTCCATCTAATGTTTCTATCGAAATTGGTTGGACCTTGCAAAGGGGAGTTAACAATACATTCCAGGGAAACAAAAAGTGCTCAACTTACCGCACGAGTTCTCGTCCGAACCATCGGTACAGTCCTTCTCGCCGTTACAGAACAGACCACGCTCGATACAGTTGCCATCACCGCAGGCCAGGAATCCGTCCTGGCAGAGCGGTTCGTCGGTGATCAGCAGGGGCTTGATCTTTCGCTCGCGGTTCTTGTTCTTGCAGTTCTTGACGGCGTCCTTCCAGTCGCACGTCTGCTTCTCGATGTCAAAGTACAGACCGGCCGGGCATCGAATGGCTTGCAGGCCCTGAACAAAGAAAGACAAAAGAGACACGGTGATTAATAAATTTCCTGCAACCATAAAGAGACGTGCATATTTATGGATCTAGATAAGCTGACAAATGAATGTTGTTTTACTAAAAGCCAATCGAAAGACAGCATGTCGGAAGTTTCGCGCTCGATTAATTTTACAAGATTGAGCTATTTACTGGGCAATCTTCTTCGAGCGAGGCGTACCAGAGGCAATTAAAAGAAAATCGGTGCGCGTTAGTTTTATGGAGCTGGTTAAGTGTGAAAAAATTGCGACGCCGCGGATCCAGCCAAGGTCGTAAAAGTGCACATAAATTTCGCTGCAACGCCCGATTGCTGCACACGCTGAAGTTGGCGGCAGTCTTTTGTTGTTAATTTCCTACTCTGTCATCGTTTGCATGCTGCCGTGTAGCATTAAGTATTTAGTTGCATGAGAAACTAATTAGCAATTTCATGGGGGTCTTTGGAAGTGGTGCCAAGGAAAATCGAGCCGCTTTGAGTAAGTAGCATTCATTTGATGGGCCCATTTAGTTGCACTTGAGTAAGGTCCACGTGTGGGTAGCACAGGCAATCGGGGGAACGGATCGCGCGATGAGCCGATGAACTTGGGCAAGCCATTGATGAGCGAAACAGTTTAGTTCAGGTTTAAAATTATGCACGTTTTGAGATGTGTTCTTGTAAATGAATGGACATTGAATTGTTCATGTGCATAGCCTTTTGAATATATTAGATCAAGCAGATAATTTGTAAAACTGGTGTTAACCGTGGAAAATGTGCTTTTTTCAGAAAATTGAGCTTGATCTTAATTGACCTTCCGTAGATCTGAGGTTCCCTGAGCTGTTATTTTGACTTCTCCAGGCTATTCTAAGCTTCTATAATGTTACCAACACCTTTTTCATGAATTTCTCTGATCTTCTCAGTGATTATTTGAACATACTTTAAATTCCACGGGCTTCATCAAAGTACCCTTAGCTTTTCAGGGTTGCTCTGAACTAGTCTTTATAAATTTTATTATTTATGAGATTCTCTGAACTTCTCTGATACTCGCAGAGAATGCATAAAATATTCATCTAAAGTTGTCTTTTTTTAGAAGATCCCACTACTTCAAAACCCGAGCTTCTCTGATGAATCCCATTTATCCGGCATTTATGCACATCTTTGATATTTTAAGAACTTTGTTGTACTTTAAATTAAAGTGTTTTGTTACTTCATACGTGAAGTTTCCGATTATCAAGTTAGGAGAAAATGTTATAGTAATACCAACCATTGATGCGAATACAAATCAAATGCATACTGTGCCTAGCTATCAACGAGGGGATTTGAGGTGTTTCCTCAAATCCACTAGCAAAAGAGTGCGCGTTTGACTTGCTCATATACTGTCTACGGCTGTGGAATAGTTCTAGCGCCGAAAGCTTCATTGCTGTTATTTTGAACTTCGATGAGCTTTCTCGATCTTTCCAGGAATTCATAAAAGTTCTTTGAGGTTTACTGAGTTCTTAGTAACCTGAACGGCTCTGGGATTTCTTAGATTTTTATGTAACACGCTTAGCTTCTTTTTGTGATAGTCACTGAACTAAGATGTCATTCGTGACTTGTCCGGGATAAGATTTGAACTCGTGACTTCTAACCGCTACGCTAGGGCGTCCTTGCTGAACTTCTGATTCTCTTCCACGGACACCTTTAAAATTCTCTGAACTTCTGTGTTTTTTCGGAAATTTCATCAACTACTCTGAGATTTCTTGTGATTTTTTAAATTCCTAGAATATCTCTTGAGTATTCATGCAGTTCCCTAAAGCACCTTTCTGAGGTTTCCAGAGCTTTCTTTAGTTTATCTGAGATTCTTTGATTATTTATCTAAAAAACACTCTGAGTTTCTCTGATGTTGTCAGGAAATTTCCTTAACTTCCCTTAACCTTCTCACAAACTCTTTGGGCTTCTCATAATTTCCTTAAACTTATCTAAAGCACCCTGAGTTTCATTGATACTCCCAGGGCTGTCATCTGATCACTCAATGCGCGCAATGTACTGATTTTCTGAAATATACAAAGTGAGAATCAAGCAAACACAAAGTTGGCTTGTTTTTACCCTGCGCAAGTGTAAAGCAGCGGAGAAGAGAAGACAGACACACGTCCAGAAATAACGAAAGATTAATGTGTAGCCATCGCTCCGACACAAAGAGCGCCACTCAGACAAAATTCTTCTATGTGCAGGCTTGCTGAAACTCCTCAAACTCACTGGAGGTTTTAAAACACTCTTGTCCTGCGAGTTTAGCCAGCCCTTACGTCGAGTGAGTGGCGGCAGGAATATGAAAAACTTCTCAAGAAAGAGAGGGAGAGTGAACTTCAGCGAGAGGATGATTTGACGTGAGGTGCGCTTTTCGAGACTCTGGATGACTTTTTTGTTCGACGCAAGAAGCTCAGAGTGATAATAAGGGCGTGTGGATAGAAAACATGAACATGAATGGCAGCAAAGCTCACTCTCATTTTATCCCCCTTCGCTCATAAGCTCTGAAGCTCAGTTGAATGATTTGGCAATAGGCATTCTACTCCTCAGAAAAATGCATTTCAAACTCGCGAGCGAGGCTCCATCAAGCCTGGTTATGCCCTTCTTCATCTTCTATGCATGCAGTCGTGGTAGTCGGCAAAGAATTCAAAGAATACATTAGCGCTTTTTGAATTATATTCGCTCCCTGCGCCGCACGGAGTGTACCGCTCATTGTGTGGATCGCTTTCTCACAGATTAGTTGGAAAAGAGTGTGCGAAGTAAATGGGAGAACCACACACTCTGTCGAGTGTTGTGAGATGCATCCACAAAGTTGCTTTGCTAACGCTGTGAGGTGTTTTCCAGCCCTGGATGCTCCCCTGAACTATTAAGAACTTCTCTCATAGGAGATCCTAAAGTTTTTCTGCAGTGTCTATAGTTTTACGAAAGATCCTTAAAATTCGTTGGCACTCCTTAAACTTCAGTACAGCATCTTGAGCTTCTCTGATGTTTTCCTGATCATTTAAAGATCTTGATGAACTTTTTTGAATATATTGGAACAATTCCGGGGTTCCTTGAATATTTATTTATCAGAAATCTGAGCTTTTCTTTTGTTCCGTGTACTTATTTGAGGTTCCTTCCACTTTCAATGAAGTTTTAGGCAACTTCTGGGCTTTACTGAATTATTAAAAGACAAAAATACTGCGAACACTAGACAACGGAAAATACCCAGCACCCAGAAGACCAGTAGCAAAATTTAACGATTCAGCACTTGATGGCTTCTTCACGAGTTGGCACCAAAAAATTCTGAAGTATTAAGACGAATATCAGAAGAGGCCTTCAAATTTGTTTGATTTGACTCATAATGCTACCTTATGTCACTCTTTTTTATATGAGAATATGTATGAGGCAAGGTTTACCGAGCATCTGTCGTAATTAGAATGACACTTTTGTTATTGCTACCAAAGTTTCATTATCTGTTGAAGCCTTCTTCAGGGGAAGGTACCAACAAGTATCGTTATAATTCCAAGTATTTTATTAGATAGACGAGACTAGATATGGTTGCAATCGCTTTAAAGGGTGAGTCGGTAATTATTGTGACACTTTCAAACGTTTTTTTTATACTTGACTGAAATTAACAAAATTTTGTTCAGTTTCTCTTTAGAGTGTATTATTTACATCCGCTCAGTTGTGCAGTCGTCAGTGAAATTCCAGTCGAGATGGAATAAAATCAGCAAACCGTTCGTGAAAGGATTTTGTTTACCCACATGCAAAAACCTGGGTTGTCGCATCGTGCCTTGGGAATACTGATGTATATACATCATTTGACCGTCTCAAGCGTCCTTAAAAAGTTCCAGGAACGAATGACAGTGGACCACAATCCAGAAGCAGAACGAAAACCGGGAACAACGCACGAAAAAAAAACGAGGGAGCGTTGATTGTTCATTTCAAGCGGAATCCGAACATTTCGACGCGGGCCTTGACCAAAAAACGTACAAGGTGTAGAACTTCCCAAATCGGGACGAACGCCAGCAGAGCGTTGCCAAAACGCGCTCCCGAAAACTCTACATGAAGCTGCTAACGAAATACCGGTGCTGCGTCATTGATGATGAGACCTACATCAAAGCGGATTTTTAGCAGTTGCCGTGACAGGATTATTTCACGGGTTAGGACAGTGCGCGAACTTCGGAGTACCAAAGGAGTGGCAAAGGACGAAAAGGAAATGATGAGGAAGTGGGTAAAAACTGAGAAAAACGTACCGGAAACGACTGTACAGGCTCTGATGGAGGGCGTCAATCGCAAATATCGAGCTCATCCTAAAATTTAAGGAACGTATGTAAGCTACACATACTAAACTATTGTAACATTTTGGTTTCATTTCAATAACTATAGCCGATTTACCAATCAATCTAATGTGTCGCAATATTTATCGACTCACTGTTTATTTACCTAGCATTGAAGTAAACTTTTCTGAACCGACTAGAACAACTTGGAAGCAAGCCTGAGCTTCTCTTAAGTCACTTGAACTTCTTTGAGAGGTTCTCTGAGCTTCTATAAAGTATGTTGAACTTCTTTGAGGTTATATGAAGATTCTTAAAAACAGAGCGTAAAATTATTGACTGTCTAGACTGAGTGTGAAAGCACTGCACTATTCAATCCATTGCTCTGTGCAGACCGTTTTTACCAAACGGTAAAGGACGAGGCAATGAAAGAGCCAACAAAAACATTCAGTCACTCACGAACAGGCGACTCACACCGCTTGCCTTCACTCACACAACATGTAATTGAGGCATTTTTCCATAGAAAATGTACGCTCAGTCATTCAAAACAAGTATTGGATACCATCACGGAAGAATAAACGTGCTGACTGAGCTACTGACTGAGTACTCGGCTGTCAGTGACTCGTTTACCTCTCAATCATTCAGACTCTCACGAGACGGTGAATGATGAGGCAGATGGCAGTTCATATTCATATGAAAATGACTCATTGAACCTGACTGTTTTGCGCACTGCTTA